TTGTAGCCCTTCATCTCAGCATGCTACTGTCCAAATATAATCACCCTGTGCATTTTGAATATTCAGAAGAAGTTGTTTAAAGTTTTGAACATATTTGCTCCTTGTGACTTTGAATATGATTCAAGGTCATACATTTAAACAAACTTTGTAGCCCTTCATCTCAGCAAGCTACTGGCCAAATATCGTCACCCTGTGCATTTTGGTTATTCAGAAGAAGTTATTTAATGTTTCTCACATATTTGACCCCTGTGACCTGGAATATAGGTGAAGGTCATTCAAAACAAACTTGATAGCCCTTTACCCCGGCATGCTACTGGCCAAATATCATCACCCTGTGCATTTTGATTATTCAGAAGAAGTTGTTTAAAGTTTTTAACATATTTGACCCCTGTGACCTTGAATATGGGTGAAGGTCATTCATTTGAACAAACTTTGTAGCCCTTCATCTCAGCTTGCTACTGGCCAAATATCATCACCCTGGGCATTTTGGTTATTCAGAAGAAGTTGTTTAAAGTTTTTAACATATTTGACCCCTGTGACCTTGAATATGGGTGAAGGTCATTCATTTGAACACACTTTGTAGCCCTTTATCTCAGCATGCTATTGGCCAAATATCATTACCCTGGGCATTTTGGTTATTCAGAAGAAGTTGTTTAAAGTTTTTTTTAAGACAATTGACCCCTGTGACCTTGAATATAATTGAAGGTCATTCATTTGAACAAACTTGGTAGCCCTTCACCCAAGCATGCTACTGGCCAAATATCATCTCCCTGGAAAGTTTGGTTATCTAGAAGAAGATGTTTAAAGTTTTTAACATATTTGACCCCTGTGACCTTGAAAATGGATGAAGGTCAATAATTTTAACAAACATTGTAGCCCTTCATCCCAGTTTGCTTCTGGCCAAATATCAACACTTTGTGCCAGGTGAGCTAAAAACAGAACGTCCAGGATGATGATATTTATTTGGCCAATATTATGCTAGGATGAAGCACTACCACGTTTGTTCAAATGAATGACCTTCACCTATATTCAAGGTCACAGGGGTCAAATATGTTGAAATACTTAAACCACTTCTTCTGAATAACCAAAAGCTCAGGGTGATGAAATTTGGCCAGTAGCATGCTGGAACGAAGGGCTTCCAAGTTTGTTCAAACGAATGACCTTCGCCCATATTCAAGGTCACAGGGGTCAATTGTCTTAAAAAACTTTAAACGTCTTCATCTGAATTACCCAATGTCTAGGGTGATGATATTTGTCCAGTAGCATGTTGGCATGAAGGGCTACTAAGTTTGTTTAAATGAATGACCTTCGTCCCTATTCAAGGTCACCGGGGTCAATTGTCTTGAAAATCTTTAAACAACTTCTTCTGTATCACCAAAAGGTCCAGGGTGAGGATATTTGGCCAGAAGGATGTTTACATGAAGGGCTACTAAGTTTGTTCAAACAAATGACCTTTGCCCATATTCAAGGTCACAGGGGTCAAATATGTTGAAATCTTTAAACGACTTCTTCTGAATAACTAAAACATACAGGGTGATTACTTGTTGATGTGAATGACCTTGACACACTTTCATGGTCACATTTGGTCCATAGTGCATAAGTCTTTAAAAGTCATGTTCTCAATAAACAAAAGGTACATGTATAAGGTAATGATTTTTGGCAAGTTGCATTCTGGGAGGAAGGGCTATGAAGTTTGTTCAACTTAATGTCCATGTTTGACTTTTTAAGGTCACAGGGGTCAAATGTGTTTTAATCAGTTATCAGGTTCTTCTGATTGACTTGAAGACAGGACACTGATATTTTAATACCAGGTGATCGATGCAGGCCCTTTGGGCGTCTTGTTTTTGTTTATTTTGAAAACCATTCAAAAACAATATAAAACACAAAAAATAAAAAAGATGAACCATTTCTCAGTCCAAAAAGCATATTTATTATTAACAGCTAATAAAAACAATGATGTTTAACATAATTAAGGACTAACGCACACCATAGAATATGTTCGTTGCCAACTGCGTTCATACTACCATATACACCGTGAAAATGAAGGTCAATCCTTATATTTCAACTAAAACAATATTTAAATGCTACATTACGTAGAAAAAAAGTCGAAGCAGGTTGCCATGTTGGTAGCTTAGCCTATGGTAGCCGTGGTTGCTAAGACAACATAGTTCCAGTAAATCTACATCGGTATACGAGTAAATTTAGAAAATATGCAGTCAATAACACTAATTGCTTTCCTTTCATGGTTTTTAAACTTCAAATTAAGCAATGTGAGAAGCCCTACCAAACTTTTTTTATTATTTACAACGGTCGTCATTTACCCGCATTGACACATTGCTCATGGAGTGATGCGGTCAGAACAAAGCCGCCATTGTTGACGTTACCGCCAAAGAAATTTGAATGTGCTTCTATGGAATAAGAAGTTTGTCATCATTCTTTTGTTGTACAATTAGACATAATGGATCCCAAATGTGTTCTTTGTATCTAGATGGTGAATGATCCAAGCATTGGTTGCCATTGGACTGTTATCTCACTGAAGCGCGAACTGCGCCATATTTGAAACAAGTATCAATCCGCCGAGCTTGTTTGGTTTGGTTTGGTTTTGGTTTGGTTTGGTTTGGTTTGGTTTAGTATTGTTTAACGTCCTATCAAACGCTATGGTCATTTAAGGACGGCCTCCCCTGTGTGCAAGATGCATGTGTGTAGTGTATGTGTGTGTGTTTTGGGGGGCTGCGATATGTTCGTGTTTGTCTCCTTGTGATAGCGCAGAACTGATGTCAACTTTATAGTGCTACCTCACTGAAACATACTGCTGTAGACACCCAGCAGGACACCCCACCCGGTCACATTATACTGACATCGGGCGAACCAGTCATCCCACTCCTAAATTACTGAGCGTTAAGCAGGAGTAGAAACTACCATTTTCACAGACTCTGGAATGTCTCGGCCAGGTGACAGAACCCAAAGCCTTCCTCGCAGGGGCGAACGCTCAACTAAAGGGCAAAAGTGAGGCATTGTCAAGCGAGTAATTAGGAAGAAGAAAGTTGTTTAGAAAGAAGAGAAAAGATAAGATCCCAAATTTAGTCGCCTCTAACGATCATGCAATGGGGGCAGCAGGTACAATTCTTACACCCTACATGCAGGGACTCTGCCAAGCCCTTTCAAGTCAGAGTTTACTAGGCTGAAGAAGGGAGACATATAAATATATAATATTAAGCTGCATTTTATAGAAATTCATCTCATTATCTTCTGTAACAGTGAGCATTTTTTGTTAAGATGAAAGTCTTCTTTGCTATTTCAGATTCTTTATGTGTATATGCTTAAAAACAGATATACAAGAGGCCCATAGGGCCTGTATCGCTCACCTGGATATCTAAGCAATCATGGCAAAATATTCTCCAAATAAGATCCAAGGGAATATGCCAGACCCCAAGGCCAATCCTTGTAGCATATATATCTGTATTAGATTTTTCATGCCCAGCAATTTTATGTATAGTTATAGGGTGGGGATCTCAACTGTTTCCAATCTGTGACACAGAAACTAGATCCCTATGGTTGTGGCCAGACCCCAGGACCAATTCTAATATCATGACTGCATTTGTCTCTTTTTACCCAGCATTTGTATATATAGTTTTGGGGTGGGGATCTCAACAGTTTCAAAGTTATGAACCAGGGGTTAAGTCTGCAAGGGTGGGGCAAACCCTGGGGTCAATTCTAATATCATGACTGCATTCGTCTCTTTATGCCCAACAATTGTATATATAGTTTTGGGGTGGGGATCTTAACCATTTCGAAGTTATGACCCAGGGGTTAAGTCTCCAAGGGTGGGACAGTCCCCAAGGCCATCCTGGAAAGCATATGTGCATTCTTCTCTTTATACTCAACAATTGTCTATATGGTTATAGGGTGGGAATCTCAACTGTTTCCAAGCTGTGACTAAGAAACTAGGTCCCTAGGGGTTCGGTCAGACCCTAGGGTCTATTCTAACATCGTGACTGCATTCGTCTCTTTATGCCAAGCTTTGGTATATATAGTTTTGGGGTGGGGATCTCAACAGTTTTAAAGTTATGGCACAAGGACTATGTTTCCAAGGGTGGGGCCAGACCCTAGGGCCATCCTGGAAGCAAATGTGCATTCTTCTCTTTATACTCAGCAATTGTATATGTGGTTATATGGTGGGGATCTCAACCATTTTCAAGCAATAAACTTTTTTTAGCCCCACCCCTTAGCCCTGGGGTCAGGCCCACCATTTGTACAATTTTGAATCCCTGCCTCCCATGAATGCTTTCGACCAAATATGATCGATATCCATGGCATAGTTCTACAGAAGAGGTCGGTTATAGCAATATAGCCAAATTGCCCCCTTTTGGCCACGCCCTTAGCCCCCTGGGGGGTCAGCCCCACCATTTGTACAATTTTGAATCCCCATTACCTAGGGATGCTTCCAGTCTAATATGGTTGATATCCATCACTTAGTTCCAGAGAAGAAGTTGCTTAAAGCAATATAACCAAATAACCCTTTTTGGCCCGCCCCTCAGCCCCCTGGGGGGTCAGCCCCACCATTTGTACAATTTTGAATCCCTGCATCCCATGAATGTTTTTGATTAAATATGATTGATATCCAGCGCATAGTTCTACAGAAGAAGTCGTTTGTAGAAATATAGCCAAATTACCCCTTTTTGGCCACGCCCCTCAGCCCCCTGGGGCTCAGCCCAACCATTTGTACAATTTTGAATCTCCACCACCTAGGGATGCTTCCAGTCAAATATGGTTGATATCCATCTCTTAGTTTAGAGAAGAAGTTGCTTAAAGCAATATAGCCAAATTGCCCCCTTTTTGCCCCACCCATCAGCTCCCTGGGGGGGGGGGTCAGCCCCACCATCTGTACAATTTTGAATCCCCACCACCTAGGGATGCTTCCAGTCAAATTTAGTTAAATTCCAATCAGTGGTTAAGAAGGAGAAGTCGTTTAAAGAAATTGTTGACGGACGGACGACGGACGGACGGACGCCACGGTATGGCATAAGCTCACCTTGGTCCATCGGACCCGGTGAGCTAATAATGCTTGTTATTATTATCTCATTTCTTCCTTGTTAGCAAAAAGAACTGCATCATTATATTAGTGTACCATGATAAATCATGCAGTGCCAAGAGGAATCCTTGTGTGCCACCACGGGTAATTATAATTTCTCATACAGGTTAATCAAACTTTTTCAGATCTTTCTTAAAATCCACATGTTACAATATTTTTTAATGATATTCACAAATATACCCTAAACAACAACCAGCTGTACTTCCAGTTTCCCATTTTAAAGTGTTTCAATTCATAATATATTTTCATGCATATATCATTAATAAACTCCATAAATATGTGATATTTCAATCGGTATACAATACATATACCATATAAAAAGAAATGAGAGGTTTTGTTATTATTTATAAGTTTGCAGACACTACACAATCTATTATCCCACCCCTTTCAATTCCGTTTTGTGACTTTAAGGATCCTCACACCACTGCCAAAAATTGCAAAACCAACCAAAGCCATTTTGTGACTTTAAGGATCCCCATACCACTGCCAAAAATTGCAAAACCTACCAAATCTATTTTGTGACTTTAAGGATCTCCATACCACTGCCAAAAATAGTAATTACACACTGGAGACTGTTTCTTCAGCATGAATATGGCTTTGATAAATCATTTCTGAAAAAAGTACACCAATATACCTTGCAGGAGTTTTATGAAAAAAGATGAAAATGAAACTAACACAATATAGTCAACAACAGTGGTCTGAGTGTACACATTTAGAGGGCCTTCATACTGATTCGAACCCTGGACTTTAGATAGGCAGTGCCTTGGCCCAAAGGTGCTATACAAATAACATGTATACATATATTCAACAGGAAATGAAGGGAAGGTTAATGTACATACGCAGTGAAGTGGGACAGAGATCCTCAATAGATGAAGTGAAAATCATGATAATTTATTCTATACATAACATAAATGTATTTGTGAAGCAGCAAAAAATGTGTAGGGAAAGATGTTTAGTTTTGGGTGCTATAAAGGTTTTTATGCCAAATTTAACTGGAACTATAAATCGAAGACTAATTAAGTCCCCACTCGACCATGAACATGATCAAAATTCTGGAAAATGAATTGCAGTGTAATTTTAGTGATGCAAAATTATGAAAAGTCCTTTAATTTCAGCAGTTGTCTTGATAAAAGAACCCTTAACTTTAACAGACACAAATGTGCCCCAAACTATCCCAGCAGCCACCCAACAAAACTCACTGTATAGGCAGGTGAGCTTAAAAAGGTAATAACTAAAGATAAAAAGTAGAATTTGAAATATATATCTGGGGTCAATAACTGAATGATGCAATGACTACACATGATTTTACTGAAATCAGCTCGGTAGCTTAGGAGTTGATGTTCCGACATGTTTTAACCCAGAGACAGACAAACGAACAGACAGATTGTCACATGGATGGTTGGACAGACAGAAGCAGAATTCAGTGTTACCCGTAACTAAAGTTAAGTAAGAATATCATCTGCTCCTTCAACATGCTTTGTATAACTAGAAAATTATTAAAAATAAAAACATTGTGGGAGGGGGAGGGGGGTTTATTGGAATCAGTTTGTCTGTCTTTCTGCCTATCTGTCCATCTATCGATAAAATCTTGTCTTTACAACTCCTCCTAGACTAAACTTAATAGCCTATTTCAACAAAACTGTATAAGTATTTTATTACATTATGTAGTTGTGCACCTGATATTTATATTTCAGTTTTTATGTGTTTTTTTTTACAAAAGTTATTGCCCTTTTTGTACTGATTCAAGATGGTTGTTACAGGCTCTTTTGACAATATTGGCCATAAATTACCAGGTAATAGGTACATTTTCGTGCAACTTCATTTAAACAACAATCAATCAAGCTTTCCTTCCATAAAAAAACCCCTACATTTTCGTACAACTTAGTCAACCCTGAAGGAGGAGTGAAATGTCCACCCAAGGCGTAACATGCACAATTAACACAGGTAAGGTCCCGTTGTGATTTTATAACTGTCAAATGAGTGATGAACTCTAATCAGCGATCAACTCCATACAATACATTTGACAGTATTGTAATGATGTGTAACATGCATTGAAGAATTTGAAAAAGTGCAAAATAACCACTCGGATAATAAATATGTATATGACATGCCTTATTTCACTAGAAGCTTCCATATTTTTTTCATTCTGTAATATTCGTCAACAAATCTTACCATGTCACACAACAGGGCGATCAATTATTAAATCAAACAGTTGTGCCCACTATTTTGGGGACGGTGTGTGTAATTTTGGTGCGTTGTTTGATCACACAACTGTAATATAAGTTTCAGGATTCAAGCTGGCTGCCATGGCCTCCGATTTGCATCATAGGTTGAGCGGTGGTATTAATTAGTATGAATATGGCTTTTAGTTCTAGTTTTGTTGAGCCTATACTTATCAAAAACATAAAACAGTGTGCCACGTACTAACAAAATTGTGAACAGCATTGATTAGAATAACTTGACTGTATAAAAAGACTGGCTGTTGAAAAGATCTATCACCATATTGTACAAAAAAAACACCAGAACATGGTGAGTTGAACAAGTTTGCCTGCACTGACGGAAAACATGAGGATTGGGTTGCTGAGTGAGTTTGTTGAGCGTAAACAACACTTGTCAAGTAACTTTTTTACCTATCATACTTGGGTCAAGGCACTAGTGTAAGGTTTGTAAGATTTTTTAACCCTGATCACCGTAAGAACACAGTCACAGACACTGGACATTAAGGCATCCATTTTCACTTTGTTCTTACTGTACACATTTAGATAAATCCCAACCGTTACAATCATGCCGGACCAGATATACCTGAAATAAATAGAACAAGCAGTTAAACACTATTACCATATTCCACCTGATGAATTACATGTACCAACAAACACGAATACAACCCCTCCCTGGCTCAATGGCTATTTTAAATGTATGTAGTGGACACCAGAGGTTATATTGAATTATTTTGTTAACATGTAACAATAATATCTTTTCACTCTGCATTTTATTTCAATTACACCATTCATGTGAATCACACAGTATCCTCGAAATTGTTCATCGATTCTTAAAAACATAAAATCCAATATTTATAGATTTGAAATTAAATTTCCTGCCCCTTGCGATAGTGGGACAATCTATCCCCTAAAACACTTGATAGTGGGACAATCTATCCCATAAAACATATGATAGTGGGACAATCTATCCCCTAAAACACATGATAGTGGGACAATGTATCCCCTTAAACACATGATAGTGGGACAATGCATCCCCTAAAACACATGATAGTGGGACAATGCATCCCCTTAAACACTTGATAGTGGGACAATGTATCCCCTAAAACACATGATAGTGGGACAATGTATCCCCTAAAACACTTGATAGATTGTCCCACTATCAAGTGTTTTAGGGGATAGATTGTCCCACTATCATATGTTTTATGGGATAGATTGTCCCACTATCTCCAACTATCATGTGTTTTAGAGGATAGATTGTCCAACTATCATGTGTTTTAGGGGATACATTGTCCCACTACCATGTGTTTTATTGGATAGATTGTCCCACTATAAAGTGTTTTAGGGGATAAATTGTCCCACTATCATGTGTTTAAGGGGATGCATTGACCCACTATCATTTGTTTAAGGGGATAGATTGTCGCACTATCATGTGTTTTATTGGATAGATTGTCCCACTATAAAGTGTTTTAGGGGATAAATTGTCCCACTATCATGTGTTTAAGGGGACGCATTGTCCCACTATCATGTGTTTAAGGGGATGCATTGTCCCACTACCATGTGTTTAAGGGGATAGATTGTCCCACTATCGTCATGTGTTTTAGAGGATAGATTGTCCAACTATCATGTGTTTTAGAGGATAGATTGTCCAACTATCAAGTGTTTTAGGGGATAGATTGTCCCACTATCATGTGTTTAAGGGGAAAGATTGTCCCACTATCATGCATTTAAGGGGATACATTGTCCCTCTAACATGTGTTTTAGGGGATGCATTGTCCCACTATCCCCTTAAACACATGATAGTGGGACAAGGCATCCCCTTAAACACATGATAGTGGGACAATCATCCCCTAAAACACTTGATAGTTGGACAATCTATCCTCTAAAACACATGACAGTTAGACAATCTATCCTCTAAAACACATGACAGTTGGACAATCTATCCCCTTAAACACATGATCGTGGGACAATGCATCCCCTAAAACACATGTTAGAGGGACAATGTATCCCCTTAAATGCATGATAGTGGGACAATCTATCACCTTAAACACATGATAGTGGGACAATGCATCCCCTAAAACACATGTTAGTGGGACAATGTATCCCCTTAAATGCATGATAGTGGGACAATCTATCCCCTTAAACACATGATAGTGGGACAATGCATCCCCTTAAACACATGATAGTGGGACAATCTATCCCATTAAACACATGATAGTGGGACAATGCATCCCCTAAAACACATGATAGTGGGACAATGTATCCCCTAAAACACTTGATAGTGGGACAATCTATCCCCTTAAACACTTGATAGTGGGACAATCTATCCCCTAAAACACATGATAGTGGGACAATCTATCCTATAAAACACATGGATCCCCTAAAACACATGATAGTGGGACAATTTATCCCCTAAAACACATGAAAGTGGGACAATCTATCCCATAAAACACATGATAGTGGGACAATCTATCCAATAAAACACATGATAGTGGGACAATCTATCCTATAAAACACATGTATCCCCTAAAACACATGATGGTGGGACAATATATATCCCCTAAAACACATGATAGTGGGACAATCTATCCTATAAAACACATGTATCCCCTAAAACACATGATAGTGGGACAATGTATCCCCTCAAACACATGAAAGTGGGACAATCTATCCCCTAAAACACATGATAGTGGGACAATCTATCCTATAAAACACATGTATCCCCTAAAACACATGATAGTGGGACAATATATATCCCCTAAAACACATGATAGTGGGACAATCTATCCTCTAAAACACATGATAGTTGGACAATCTATCCTCTAAAACACATGATAGTTGGACAATGTATCCCCTAAAACACATGATAGTGGGACAATGTATATCCCCTAAAACACATGATAGTGGGACAATCTATCCTATAAAACACATGAATCCCCTAAAACACATGATAGTGGGACAATGTATATCCCCTAAAACACATGATAGTGGGACAATGTATCCCCTTAAACACATAATAGTGGGACAATGTATCCAATAAAACACATGATAGTGGGACAATCTATCCAATAAAACACATGATAGTGGGACAATTTATCCCCTAAAACACTTTATAGTGGGACAATCTATCCAATAAAACACATGATAGTGGGACAATCTATCCAATAAAACACATGATAGTGGGACAATCTATCCAATAAAACACATGATAGTGGGACAATCTATCCAATAAAACACATGATAGTGGGACAATCTATCCAATAAAACACATGATAGTGGGACAATCTATCCAATAAAACACATGATAGTGGGACAATCTATCCAATAAAACACATGATAGTGGGACAATCTATCCAATAAAACACATGATAGTGGGACAATCTATCCAATAAAACACATGATAGTGGGACAATCTATCCCCTAAAACACATGATAGTGGGACAATTTATCCCCTAAAACACATGAAAGTGGGACAATGTATCCCCTTAAACACTTTATAGTGGGACAATCTATCCAATAAAACACATGGTAGTGGGACAATCTATCCCCTAAAACACAATGTCATGATAGTGGGACAATCTATCCCCTAAAACACTTGATAGTGGGACAATCTATCCTCTAAAACACTTGATAGTGGGACAATCTATCCCCTAAAACACTTGATAGTTGGACAATCTAGCCTCTAAAACACATGACATTTGGACAATCTATCCCCTAAAACACATGATAGGGGGACAATCTATCCTATAAAACACATGATAGTGGGACAATCTATCCTATAAAACACATGATAGTGGGACAATGTATCCCCTAAAACACTTGATAGTTGGACAATCTATCCTCTAAAACACATGACATTTGGACAATCTATCACCTAAAACACATGATAGTGGGACAATCTATCCTATAAAACACTTGATAGTTGGACAATCTATCCTCTAAAACACATGACATTGGGACAATCTATCCCCTAAAACACATGATAGTGGGACAATCTATCCTCTAAAACACTTGATAGTTGGACAATCTATCCTCTAAAACACATGATTGTGGGACAATCTATCCCCTAAAACACATGATAGGGGGGCAATCTATCCTATAAAACACATGATTGTGGGACAATCTATCCAATAAAACACTTGATAGTTGGACAATCGATCCTCTAAAACACATGATTGTGGGACAATCTAACCCCTAAAACACATGATAATGGGACAATCTATCTCCTGAAACACATGGTAGTGGGACAATCTATCCAATAAAACACTTGATAGTTGGACAATCGATCCTCTAAAACACATGATTGTGGGGCAATCTATCCCCTAAAACACTTGATAGTGGGACAATATATCCTCTAAAACACATGACATTTGAACAATCTATCCCCTAAAACACATGATAGTGGTACAATCTATCCTATAAAACACTTGATAGTTGGACAATCGATCCTCTAAAACACATGATTGTGGGGCAATCTATCCCCTAAAACACATGATAGTGGTACAATCTATCCAATAAAACACATGATTGTGGGACAATCTAACCCCTAAAACACATGATAGTGGGACAATATATCCAATAAAACACATGATAGTGGGTCAATCTATCCTCTAAAACACATGATTGTGGGGCAATCTATCCCCTAAAACACATGATAATGGAACAATGTATCCCCTTAAACACTTTATAGTAAAACACATGGTAGTGGGACAATGTATCCCCTAAAACACATGATAGTGGGACACTCTATCCTCTAAAACACTTGATAGTGGGACAATATATCCTCTAAAACACATGATAGTTGGACAATCTATCCTCTACCCCTTAAACACATGATAGTGGGACAATGCATCCCCTTAAACACATGATAGTGGGACAATCTATTCAATAAAACACATGATAGTGGGACAGTCTATCCAATAAAACACATGATAGTGGTACAATCTATCCTATAAAACACTTGATAGTTGGACAATCTATCCTATAAAACACATGATAGTGGGACAATATATCCAATAAAACACATGATAGTGGGACAGTCTATCCAATAAAACACATGATAGTGAGACAATCTATCCAATAAAACACATGATAGTGGGAAAATCTATCCAATAAAACACATGATAGTGGACAATCTATCCAATAAAACACATAGTGGGACAATCTATCCAATAAAACGCATGATAGTGGGACAATCTATCCTCTAAACCACATGACAGTTGGACAATCTATCCCCTAAACCACATGATAATGGGACAATGTATCCCCTAAAACACTTGATGGGACAATCTATCCCCTAAAACACTTGATAGTGGGACAATATATCCTCTAAAACACATGATATTTGGACAATCTATCCCCTAAAACACATGATAGTGGGACAATCTATCTCCTGAAACACATGATAGTGGGACAATCTATCCCCTAAAACTCTGGACAGTGGGACAATCTATCCCCCAAAACTCTGGATGCTTAGTGAGGAAGCAAGATAAGTGTTTGCTAGAAGTAAATATTCTCGTGTGTAGAAATGTCATTAAACTGACTGCAGCATAGAAATGTTAGTGTTGGCTGAAATCTGTGTCAAACAATAACTTCTCTGATCATTTATCTAGATGTAAATACATGTAGTACTTACTGATATGTGAATGGTTTGGTAAAAAACATGAAGGATAAGATAATGGTCACAGCTTTCCTGCAGGTAGTGACTAAAAATATAAAACACACAAATGTTACAGCTTTCCAGCAGGTAGTGACTAAAAATATAAAACACACAAATGTTACAGCTTTCCAGCAGGTAGTGACTAAAAATATAAAACAAACAAATATTACAGCTTTCCAGCAGGTAGTGACTAAAATTATAAAATACAAATGTTACAGCTTTCAGGCAGGTAGTGACTAAAAAAATAAAACACACAAATGTTACAGTTTTCAGGCAGGTAGTGACTAAAAATATAAAACACACAAATGTTACAGCTTTCCAGCAGGTAGTGACTAAAAATATAAAACACACAAATGTTACAGCTTTCAGGCAGGTAGTGACTAAAAAATTATAAAACACACAAATATTACAGCTTTCAGGCAGGTAGCGACTAAAAATATAAAACACACAAATATTACAAACTCCCATAACTGGATTGATAAAAACCAAAGGAAATTATACTAAAACATCAAGAGGAAGGAAAGATTTATTACAACAATGAAACAAATGTTTTTTTTCAGTAAACTGTTTGATTATATTTATTATCTATTTATTGTTTGAAATAAAACAGATTTATCAATTTATCTGTAAAATACTAAATTTAAATGCAATGTAGTTCATAAAGAAATGAAAAGATGCATTGCTGCGCTATGCAAAAATGATATATTTTATTCTGGGAATATAGTCTTATAAAAGTTGTTTGGTTCCTTTCTTCAAAACAGATAGTTTGTGGTGTACCTATATATTCCTCTTAACCCAATGAGAATCTTTTGAATGTATGATATGGTTAGTTAATGAGAAAGAGATCAATGTCCTAGTCCCTACGTGAAGGTAGTTTAAATGTTAAGATACAGAGTGACTGTCAAAAGGAAGAAAATGGAATCCCTCCCCCACACATGTGGTACACAAGTATGTTTGCGTCCACGTATCCATTTTTGGGGCCGATTTGAAATGAACAAACAGCAAATTTATGTCTTTTCTTCTGTTTTGTTTGGGCCAAGCTTTGCTTGATATTAGGATGAAGTAACCTGAACAAAATTTCCATCTAGCTTTGCTCAGCAATAAACATTGATAATTTGAAATCAATTGAGAGAATTAGAAATGCTATTGATGATTTTAGCGCCCATATACTTATATGTTAAAAATAATTTCAAAATGTTGATGCGTATTCCTTGCTCACACATGGGCCTTTCATGTGTTTACACATACATCACTTCGGCCTTAGCTTGATTAACTTATTATTCCACTGCAGACTATATATACAACACTTTTAACATACCGTACCTCAAAAACAATACAGGAAGCAATGCAATGGCAAACTAACAACTCTGATAAAATAACCCGGTATTCATATTTACCTGTGACAGCTATTAAAGCGCCAAAAGTTTTCACCAAACTTAGAACTACGTTCACCCCTAGGTACCCGAACACGGAGAATATCACAGCATATCCATAGGTTTCTTTAGGATACTGTAAAAATAAAATATTAAAAGATTATCTGTCTATTCTGCTAGACTTTATCCCAGAAAATGACATTTTTAAACAACCAGGCCCTTACACCATTATAAAGTTATTGCCATTAACATCATTAAAAAGAACCTGTCACTTTTACATCATTACAAATTGCCTGTTACCATGGTTGCCTTTGTGTATTGGTTCAGGTGGCACAGAAATCTGTGATAAATGAATGCACTTGGACCAGAACTCTGACAAAATTATGGGCAGAACTACAAATGGAGTGTCGGATATTTTCTGACAAATAAGTAATGATACCGGTATATCAGGAACAATTTATCCTTCTTTTATACATGTACATAATTTTATAAAATTTCCTTAAATACATGTATACTTGTGAATCGTCCCCACTATTCCGTCTGTTCGTATTGCAGAGTTATCTGCTCTTGTGAGCATGTATTGATTGTTACGTCATTAGTTTGTGTAAGAAAATTACGTTGTTTTCTCAAATATTTATGACGTTACACTCCCAAACAAATGACGTAACAATCAATACCTGCTCACAAAAGCAGATAACTCTGCAATACGAAAAGACGGAATATGCACTTGCCGAATTTTCCAGATGTCAGCCTAGGTTCAGACCTAAACCTGCTATTTTCTTTTCAGGTTACGCTGGTTATGGTTGAAAGGATTGAACCAGATACACAAAAGGGGCCTCACATCATTACGAAGTACTTGCTCCTTATATTATATCATTACGAAGTACCTGTCACTTACATCATTACGAGGTACCTGTCACTTACATCATTACAAAGTACCTGTCACTTACATCATTACAAAGTACCTGTCACTTACATCATTAAAAAGTACCTGTCACGTACATCATTACAAAGTACCTGTCACTTACATCATTACAAGTACCTGTCACTTACATCATTACAAAGTACCTGTCACTTACATCATTACGAAATACCTGTCACTTACATCATTACAAAGTACCTGTCACTTACATTATTACAGAGTACCTGTCACTTACATCATTACGAAGTACCTGTCACTTACATCATTACGAAGTACCTGTCACTTACATCCTTACGAAGTACCTGTCACTTACATTATTACGAAGTACCTGTCATTAACATCATTACAAAGTACCTGTCACTTACATCATTACAAAGTACCTGTCACTTACATCATTACAAAGTACCTGTCACTTACATTATTTCAAAGTACCTGTCACTTACATCATTACGAAGTACCTGTCACTTACATCATTACGAAGTACCTGTCACTTACATCATTACGAAGTACCTGTCACTTACATCATTACGAAGTACCTGTCACTTACATCATTACGAAGTACCTGTCACTTACATCATTACGAAGTACCTGTCACTTACATCATTACGAAGTACCTGTCACTTACATCATTACGAAGTACCTGTCACTTACATCATTACGAAGTACCTGTCACTTACATCATTACGAAGTACCTGTCACTTACATCATTACGAAGTACCTGTCACTTACATCATTACGAAGTACCTGTCACTTACATCATTACGAAGTACCTGTCACTTACATCATTACGAAGTACCTGTCACTTACATCATTACGAAGTACCTGTCACTTACATCATTACGAAGTACCTGTCACTTACATCATTACGAAGTACCTGTCACTTACATCATTACGAAGTACCTGTCACTTACATCATTACGAAGTACCTGTCACTTACATCATTACGAAGTACCTGTCACTTACATCATTACGAAGTACCTGTCACTTACATCATTACGAAGTACCTGTCACTTACATCATTACGAAGTACCTGTCACTTACATCATTACGAAGTACCTGTCACTTTCATCATAACAAAATTCCTGTCACTTACATCATTACAAAGTACCTGTCACTTACATCATTACGAAGTACCTGTCACTTACATCATTACAAAGTACCTGTCACTTACATCATTACAAAGTACTTGATTACTTACAGAATTTCAAAGTACTTATCATGCATACTTACATCATTGCAATTTTCTTTTGCTTACATCATTACAATGTTCTTGTTTCATACATTTATATAATATACTTGTTTCTTAGAGCATTACAAAGTACTTGATTACTTACATCTTTACGAAGAACTTGATTACTAACATCTTTACAAAGTGCTTGATTACTTACATCTTTACAGAACTCATAGGCTGGTAATATAGACTGGGACACAATGAGTCCGATCAGTATGTACACAAATCCTATCGAGTAGGAGTACAGCACCTATTAATTATTAAAAAAAAATAAAAAAAATCAGCAACTTGAGTATTCAGTTAAACTCGGATAAGTCGAGGTTGTCAGAACCAATAAAAACATTCAACTTATTTAAATCAATGATTCATGCAGCAAAATTAAAATCAGTTTCAAACATCAACAAATCACATACTTGTAGATATATTAGCATACTTGTTGAAAGTGCAACTATATAACATCATTGCTAACAAAGCACATAAAAAAAACCTGTACATTCAGTTGGTAATGTCAGTAAGATGAAGAAGAAAGAACTATACATGTAGTTACTGTACTCACATTTATTGCTTAATACAGCAACAGTCCTATTAGGTAAACAGCTTCCATCAAAATACATCAGAAACACAACAAATTTTAGAGATTTCCATCCTACCGGCTAACGAATAACACTTCACAAGTATGCTACCTCACATATTTTATTTACACAGTTATCTCCCTTAGGGTTTTACTTAATGGTGTATCATAAGTCATTTACATAGTCTAATATTGCTCATTGGTTTTATAAGTCTCACATTTAAATGAATATATAATTTTGCAGGCTATTTAATTTGTTTTATGGTGAGCTGCTCTATAAATTCTTATATGACAAACTGTCTATGACCCATTATGACCCATTATGTTGGAACAAATCTGGTCAGGTTCTAAAAGGTGAAAAGCTTAACTTGTCAGGTATATATTGAACCTATGAGGAAGGCTAGTCATGAACTACTTATGAATTGGATCAAGCCATTGATTCACCATTCCTGTGAGCTGTATATTAATTCACCATTCCTGTGAGCTATATATTAATTCACCATTCCTGTGAGCTGTATATGAATTCACCATTCCTGTGAGCTGGATATTGAGTTATTATTCCTGTGAGCTGGATATTGATTTACTATTTCTGTGAGCTGGATGCTGATTTACTATTCCTGTGAGCTGATTATTGATTTACTATTTCTTTGAGCTGGATATTGATTTACTATTTCTGTGAGCTGGATATTGTTTTACTATTTCTGTGAGCTGGATATTAATTCATCATTTCTATGAGCTGGATAATAACTCACCATTCCTCTATGATGTTATTGATTTATATATAATTATCATTATTGTGAGCTGGATGTTGATTTACTATTTCTCCGAGCTGTATATTGATTTACTATTACTGTGAGCTGGATATTGAGTTACTATTACTATGAGCTGGATATTGAAGTACTATTTCTCTGAGCTGTATATTGAGTTACTATTACTGTGAGCTGGATATTAAGTTACTATTTCTGTGAGCTGTATACTGATTTACTATTTTGTGAGCTGGATATTAATTCACCATTTCCCTGAGCTGGATATTGAGTTACTGTTTCTGTGAGCTGGATATTGATTTACTATTTCTGTGAGTTTAATGTTGACTTACCATTTCTGAATTGCTGCTGTTGTACTGTTTCAGTGCTTTTTCTTGTACGTTGCCTATAGCCCCATCAGCACATAGTGCTAAGGAGATTAAAATTACACCTGAAATGACACCAAAAACTTCAATGATATCAATATAATTAATTTATAACCAAATGCTAAGAGGCCTAAAATTTCACCTGTTTTTGTTTTTTAATTTAGAAATGTGACAAATATGGTACAAGTATATCAAAAGAGTTTCATAAAATAAGCTGAGAACAGGTAATAGTCTATATTTATACATACCCTTTCCTGTTATTTGAAAAGGTAAGTCTTTATACATACCCATAGTGGAATTGGCAATAGTTGATTATATATACATTGTACATGTACTATTGGATTGGGCGTTGTCTTTATATACCCCTGTAGGAATGGGCAGTAGTCTTTACATATTCCCCTATTGGACTTGGCCTCTCCTGCAGCTCACAGTGTAGCGAATACCCTTTATCTATACACAGTTATTTTGATCCAGAGATCCTTTAAACCAAATTAGTCTCCTCATATGTAAAAATGGACTACCTCCCAAGGGGGTTGCCGGATACTGGGGGCCATTCATGTAAGAATGGTTGTCCCTTTAAGCCCAGCAATTATTTAAGCAATTAATGTTGTAGCAAATGTTGTTATGGTCCTATAAACACACATTGCTATTGATGACAAACTTAATAAAGCCAGGCTGGGGTTTATGTAAGTGTTTCAGAAATAGAAATATGTGTTATAGGACCATAAAAACATTTGCTAAAATATTCATTACTCTGGTATTTATATTTACATTTTGATAGAGTAGTTATGCTTTATTTAGTTATTTCGAACAGTTCTTGACAACAGTGAAAAGGGACTCAATCTCCAGGAACAAGGCAAGACTCTATGGCGTATTCTGGTAACATAGATGCATTCAATTCTTCATGCCTAGCAAAAATAGTTGCAGTCCCAAAGTGGGAATATCAATTGCTTTTAAGAAGTACAGATACTTTACAATAGGTAAAATCCATATACTGGTGTAGTCATAGTTTTTTTACAGAAAGTAATATAATTTACCAGGGGAAAGAATGAGTTAGCCAATTCATTTCCAGGGAAGAAATTGTCTAGCTGATTGTTTCCCTTGGCCTGGGGAAGAAATCTAGCGGATTCTTTTCCCCTTCAATATTGATTTTTATGTGAAAAACTGTTGTCCAGCTTATCCTTTTCCCCTTGGTACTGTTTTTCTGAGGGACAAGCTATTGGCTTGCAGATTCCTTGAAATTGATACTAGTATTTTGAGTGGGAATTTGTTGTCAGGCTGATTCTTCACCCCCTCTCCTTGATATTGGTTTTTAAGTGGCAACTAACGGCTAGATGATTCTTTTCTGTCGTTGTATTGGTGTTTTATTTCAGATTTTTTTAATGGGGGAGGGGACTATTGACCAACTGATTCTCAATATCAATTTTTAATGGGGAACATATGGGATAGACAGCTGATTATTTCTCCCAATTCAATATCAATCAAAACTGGAAGCTATTGGACAGATGATTTCTGGCCAGGTTTGCAGTTGTTTACTTTTAATTACATATCTGCCCCTTGTAACATTGAGTATCTGTCAAGGTCATTTCTATTCATAAAATGTGTAGCACTTTATGCAGGCATGTTACTGATCCAATATTTACGAATCTAGGACTTCTGGTTCTTCAAAATATGTAGTATGAGGGCTTCAACTCTGAACTCTGTAACCTTTATCTAAGTAATAACTGTTTGCAAACTTTTCAAAACTCCATGCGAGCAAGCCGCTGGCCAAAATATCATGACTATATGCCCTTGGGTTCTTTAGAAGTCACTTAAACGTTGTCTGATGGATGGAATGAGGCCAGATGATGCTGTGCTACCACAGCAAATAAGATATCATCGATCACTTACCAAAGGTATTAAAAGACGGTGACACACTGCTATCAGCTAAGGTAAACAAAATCAGCCCCAGACACATACAAAGGACGGCGGCAACATCGATACAGCTGTAGTGTTTACCTGTGAACCAGAGTATTTTTTGCATTCCTTTAATGTATTGACACTTTCGGAAGTCTTTTTTTTTCAAATGTAGTCTGTTGAACCTTGTTAATCTTTTAAATTATACAGTCAGAGGAACCGTGTTAATTTTCTAACATGTACAATCCATGGGACCTTGTTATATACTTTAACATGTACAATCCATGGGACCTTGTTATATACTCTAACATGTACAATCCATGGGACCTTGTTATATATTCTAACATGTACAATCCATGGGACCTTGTTATATATTTTAACATGTACAATCCATGGGACCTTGTTATATATTCTAACATGTACAATCCATGGGACCTTGTTATATATTTTAACATGTACAATCCATGGGACCTTGTTATATATTCTAACATGTACAATCCATGGGACCTTGTTATATATTTTAACATGTACAATCCATGGGACCTTGTTATATATTCTAACATGTACAATCCATGGGACCTTGTTATATATTTTAACATGTACAATCCATGGGACCTTGTTATATATTCTAACATGTACAATCCATGGGACCTTGTTATATATTTTAACATGTACAATCCATGGGACCTTGTTATATATTCTAACATGTACAATCCATGGGACCTTGTTATATATTTTAACATGTACAATCCATGGGACCTTGTTATATATTCTAACATGTACAATCCATGGGACCTTGTTATATATTTTAACATGTACAATCCATGGGACCTTGTTATATATTCTAACATGTACAATCCATGGGACCTTGTTATATATTTTAACATGTACAATCCATGGGACCTTGTTATATATTCTAACATGTACAATCCATGGGACCTTGTTATATATTTTAACATGTACAATCCATGGGACCTTGTTATATATTCTAACATGTACAATCCATGGGACCTTGTTATATATTCTAACATGTACAATCCATGGGACCTTGTTATATATTCTAACATGTACAATCCATGGGACCTTGTTATATATTCTAACATGTACAATCCATGGGACCTTGTTATATATTCTAACATGTACAATCCATGGGACCTTGTTATATATTCTAACATGTACAATCCATGGGACCTTGTTATATATTCTAACATGTACAATCCATGGGACCTTGTTATATATTCTAACATGTACAATCCATGGGACCTTGTTATATATTCTAACATGTACAATCCATGGGACCTTGTTATATATTCTAACATGTACAATCCATGGGACCTTGTTATATATTCTAACATGTACAATCCATGGGACCTTGTTATATATTCTAACATGTACAATCCATGGGACCTTGTTATATATTCTAACATGTACAATCCATGGGACCTTGTTATATATTCTAACATGTACAATCCATGGGACCTTGTTATATATTCTAACATGTACAATCCATGGGACCTTGTTATATATTCTAACATGTACAATCCATGGGACCTTGTTATATATTCTAACATGTACAATCCATGGGACCTTGTTATATATTCTAACATGTACAATCCATGGGACCTTGTTATATATTCTAACATGTACAATCCATGGGACCTTGTTATATATTCTAACATGTACAATCCATGGGACCTTGTTATATATTCTAACATGTACAATCCATGGGACCTTGTTATATATTCTAACATGTACAATCCATGGGACCTTGTTATATATTCTAACATGTACAATCCATGGGACCTTGTTATATATTCTAACATGTACAATCCATGGGACCTTGTTATATATTCTAACATGTACAATCCATGGGACCTTGTTATATATTTTAACCTCATATATCTGCACTTTTAAAAATGTTCATTTCAGGCTTCTGAAACAACATTATTTCTCCTCCAAAGTGTGTACTTACGCTGGATTATGACCCCACCCAACATGACAGGTATGAGTTTACAGCACTTGAATATGACTTGTGTGGGATAGTTGAGGTAGCCAACGGAGGTATTGGATAAACCCATTGTAGCTACAGTCAAGAAGGCAAGAATAAGGTACATCTTCAGTGGAATTCTGCAAAGGAAAAGAAAATACACTAAAGCTATAGAAAATACAATACATGTAGTATTAGTTATTGATTTAACAATAAAACCTGTACTAGATGGGCATCAAAGAGAGAGAGAGAGAGGGATACTTCTTAGCAATACACTGTTAGAATTGAAATTTTGCATGCCTCTAAAGCTTTGAAATAATTTCTGTAAATATTTAATTACGATCTGTTTTGGGAAATAATTATAATTGTTTTAATACCAGTTCAATGAATATAATATATTCTTTATTGTGTTATTTAAAATGTCTCATGAATTCCGGAATAACAAATTTCACATGTCTGAGAGTATAAAAGCAGATGAGATCCTTAGTTTTGTTTTTGTTTATAATCAGACAGGACGAGCAGATTAAGAGATGAACTTTGACCTTCTGGTTTTGTCTTCTTTAAACTGTAGTTCAACCAATCCAAATATGGTATAAAAGGCAAATTGGACAAGAGTCAAATACCATCCAAATGGACGGAATCCTTCCAGACGAAATATCAATTCCTGAAAAAGATTGTCATTGAAATTATAATTAGAAGGTGCATGGAATCAGGTTATTTATATGCCCACAGATAGTTTATACTTTAGATGTGTATTACCCTCCAATATCACAGAAACATGAGATTGATTAGGTTTAGCAAAAAATTAAGGAACAAGGTCAAAGAGGACTTAAACTAATTAAAACCTATGATATTTATAAATAAATAAAACTTTATTGAAATGTTTATGATCTCATGAGCTAATATAACAGCCTATTTCCCATTGTGTCCACATAAAAAAACATTTGTGAGAGGAGAATGAAAAATGCACAGCCAGACCAGGATTCAGATTTTGTTTTCAAACCCAGGACTTTCCGAACTCTACATGGATGTTCTTGACAATTGAGCTATCACGTCACCAGTGATTATATGCTTTCATAACAACAAAACACAAAAAGATGAGGTAAGAAACAAATATCGAACACATACATATTTAAACAAGAACTACATAGGAGTCAGTGGATATGTCGCCTGTCCCAGCTTAAACCCCTGTCACACTAGGGCCGCGTTCCCTCGGCATCCAAGAAAAATCCAGAACGCCGATCTGTGCGCAGTGGAATCGCAAGCATCGCTAGTGAACGCGGTGGGATCGCATAGAACGCCGAGCGACGGCGCACACTTTGAGCATGCCCAAAACAAACGCCGTCGCTCGCCGTTCTGATAAGAGCTCAGTGGGATCGTCGTGCGTTCGCCGTAGCAGCGCAGTTAGGTCTCTTACAACGCAACAGGATCGCCACGCAGAGGTCGCAGTGCGAACGCAATGGTTATCAGCAGCGCTTGCACAGCGTTCTTTGAGATGACACTGCGTCTCTACCACGCTTATACGTGCCGTGACAACTCAATGCACGCAGTGGAAGCGCCATGAGAGCGCAGACAATCGCCAACTAGATCTCCGTAGGAACGCGGTAGAACGCCATGGAGCTCCGTTGAAATGCCAAGGTTGCCGCGAGAACCCCGTGACAATTGCTATCTTCATGAAAAATGTCAATTTTTCCTGCGATCTCATGGCGCTCTGGGAAATTTAACAACGCCGTGCAATCGCAGTGGCAACACGGCTAGGTGTGACAGGGGCTTTAGGTGGAATGATGGCTCATTACAATTAACGTATGAAGAAATGAATGAAACTTGTTATCTTTGATGCTGTATTATTTATCATTTTACAGCAACACAGAAACCATGTAGTTTTTCATGAAATCCAAATGGCTGGTGATGGCCAAGTTGATATTAATATTTGGGTCAAAATGAATTGTAGAAGATAATTGATACTATATGTAGGTGAAGACACTTACCTTTATATCGCAGTAGACTATAAACACTTACCTTTATATCACTGTAGACTATAAACATGCACCTACCTGTATATCACTGCACATGTCGACAATGAATACCTAACTGTTTATTACTGTAGACTATAAACAGTATTAAACATCTTCCTGTATATCACTTTAAATTATTAAACCTACCTGTGTATCGCTGTAGACTATACAACTTACCTCTATATCGATGTAGACTAAAATCACTTACCCGTATATCACAGTAGACAATGAACACCTACCTGTATATCACCGTAGACTATAAACTCCTACCTGTATATCACCATAGACTATAAACACCTACCTGTATATCAACATGGAATATAAACACTTTCCTGTATATATCACCCTAGACTGTAATCACTTACCTGTATATACCATCCTAGACTATAATCACTTACCTGTAAATACTGCTGTAGACTATAAAAACTTACCTGTATATATCGCCCTAGACTGTAAACACTTACCTGTATATATCACGGTAGACTGTAAACTCTTACCTGTATATATCACCCTAGACTGTAAACACTAACCTGTATATATAGCCGTAGACTGTTAACACTTACCTGTATATATATCGCCCTAGACTGTAAACACTAACCTGTATATATAACTCCCTAGACTGTAAACACTTACCTGTATATATATCACAGTAGACTGTAAACACTTACCTGTATATATAACTCCCTAGACTGTAAACACTTACCTGTATATATATCGCCCTAGACTGTAAACACTAACCTGTAGTGTATATAACACCGTAGGCCGTAAACACTTACCTGTATATAGCCATAAACAAGATAAAATCCAAATGCTGCTACAGTGAGAAGTGTAAACTGCACAACTGAAGGAAGATGAGAAATGTTTACATAAAGTAGTTTCACTTCAGGTCGACTCATGCTTTGATTTGGATCAAAGGACTGATTTAATTTGGACACATCCAGGACCACACGGTCATCTCCAGTCTTTTGACCAGGCGATAATCCAGCCATGGTATTCAAAGTAGTGGAGCTTGAATTTTTTTGACGTAAAACATTGTCGGAAAATTTATTTGAAAATCTTGACATCCTTCATCTGGGTTTCATCTGTGTCTGAAATACATTAAAACTACAGTAATGCTATTACCTTAATTGCTATCTGTCTCTTCATTATTGAATTATTAATACCATTACGGGGTTACTTCCAAAATAAAAGCTTAGTTGCAAGATGTCAATGAGTGAGAAGCTTTGTCATATCAAATACAAAATAGGTTTTTAATCAAATACAAAATTCATTTTAAAGTAAAAACAAGAGGCCCAGAGGGCCTGTATTGCTTTATACCTGGATATGTTTAAAGTACTTTATATTAGATTAAGATTTAGCACTCCATGGTAAGTACTGTATGAACATATGACATTTCAGAAAGATCCATTCAGTATTTCTGGAGATATAGTGAGAACTAACTTCAAATGTCAAAATCCAAAATGGCGGCCTTGTGGCCATCTTGTTTAAATTAATATACACCCTAATCGTAACAGGAGACAAAATTTGGATAAAATCCCTTAATCTCTATGGTAGAAGAGGGATTTCAAAGGTTTTACCCTTATTTCCAATGTTGGGCCCCTCCCCTCTGCCCTTGGGGTGGGCCACATCCACCGTTTCTACAAAATTGAGTCCCCTTGGCACAAGGATTCTCCTGACCAAATTAGGATGAAATCCCTTAATCCCTATGGTAGAAGAAAGATTTCAGATCTTTACCTCTATCTGAATTTCCCATATAAGGACCCACCCCTCTGCCCCAAGGAAAGAAACACCCATCGTTTCTACAAAATTGAGAGGGGGGGG